TATTTAACATATAAAGTTTAAAGAACTGTTCTTCTGAAACTCGAAACAGTAACATATATATAAATATCAAACATATCGTGTTATAATATTTTTAAAAAATTTCTCCCTAATATGATACTCTCCAGTAATTTGTTCAAAAGAAATAAAACAGATTAATCGTATCGCACGTAACGATTACACGTGCAACTTTTAAAGAATGACTCATGGAGAATGGATAGATCTGCAAGTACTTAAGTAACGTGAGACGCAACAGGATCTGAAAGTGAACTATTCGGTTTCCATCTTTCGCTCGAACGCTACGAAAATATACCGCGGACGATTTCTCATTTCCATCGCAATACGACCAATGAATTTTTGGAATACAACAATACGACATAATGTTTGCATAATTCGATATACAATAAAATTTAACCGTGGCTAATAACTTAATGATACAACAATGTCATAATCAAGATCTTCCTTATTTTTTTGCAATATTAAAATAATTATATGAAATTTATTTAATAGATTTAATTTTATAACACTTTAAACTTAGATATTTTAATTTTTTTCAAATCTTTCTTATTGCTTGAGCAGAAAAATTACATTCAGATTGAAAGATCTCAAAGTGCCATCAAATATTCTGTCAATCTATTCAATCTAACAAATTAGAACGGATTCTTAATAAAAATTCCTAACGAATTAAAAAAAAAAAAAAATAACAGCATTTAAAATAGAAAGTGAAGAAATAAGTTACGACAATCTAAGTTACAATAATATTCGAAAGGAGTGTTTATATCGCAAAATAAATCCCCGAGAGAAAGTTGGGGATTTACCAAGGATCCAAACCAAAAGAAAAAAACAATAATTTAATATCCGTTCCCTGCAACATAAAAATCCATTATCGCTTCACGATACGTATAGCATCCCATCGTAAGAAAATCATTGGACGATCATCGAAACTCGAAAATCCGCTTGATCGAAGGCCGATCTTTCGAAACCATCGATTTCGTGGTATTCGACCAAGGTCGTGACGTCAACGAGGAACGCGTTGCCTTCCGGAAGCGGATACGTCCAGGCTTATGGGCGCTCGAAAGAGGCCGAGGGACCTCTCTCTCTCTCTCTCTCTCTT